GAGACTTGGCCCAGTCCCCCAATTCCTGTATAATGATGTGACAAGTCTCCACTGCTTCATTTCACAAGTATTTGTGGATAAGCTGAGGTGTTTCAGGCACTGTGTTTACCAGGCCCCCAAAGGGACTCAGACCTCTTGCTCTGACACCCCTCAGAATGAAAGGCTCTTGGCCAGCAGCCCCGGCACAGCTGCCAAACCTCCACCACTATGCAACGGAACAGGATTCTGATTGTTTTCAGGTCTTATGTCCTTCGGTTGGTCCTGTTCTGCAGATAGGGCAGCTGCGGCATGGACCACTCACTATGCTTCCAACCATTTGGAAGGAAGGTTAGGAGAATCCTAAGAAGACATGACTCAATAGATTAAGATCCAGCGACAGCAGTAACTGAAATAAAGGACTGCATGGTTTCTCACCTGGGTCGGCTGAACCACTTTGATAGCACTGTCTCTGGCTGCTGAGTACATTGGGTTTTCAAATATTATGGGCTGCTTCCCCATTTCCATGACAAAGTCTTCACTCTGATGGCAGACAGAGAGAGAGATTACACCATACTAATCTAGATCACACACACAAAAAAAGGTGCCTTCCTCATACCTGGAGGTATGCTAGGTGCTATGCCAAAGTTACCCCTAAGAGAACTTGCAAAAAAAAAAAAAGCCAGCAAGACACAAGGCCTCCATATGGCAAATTTTTATGCAAAGTAACATAACAGGCACTAATTTACCAATTCAAGGAAACAGAAACACTCTTCTTATATCTAAATTCTCTTAAATAACTCACTTGGGGATTGGGTCTGTGCAAGAGAAAAGGATAATGGTGGAAGAAGAAAAGAATGAGAAGAGAGGGAAAGGAAAAGAATGGATAATATTACATTTTCAGGGAAGGAAAAACATGAAAGATTTGAGGGAGAAACAAAATACTGAAAGTGGTTTCCCAATACTGATTACAGAGAGCCCCCTTGGTGCCAAGACTGTGGCAGCCCTGTCATAAAGTATTTCATTTGGTCATCCCAGGAGGTATTAGTGTACCTATTTTACAAATAGGGACAATGAAGGTCAGAGATATCACCTTCATGTCTATTGTCACATACTTAGTAGGGTAGAGCCATGGTCTGGACCAACACCAACTCTAAAATCACTGTTTATTCTATCACTGTACATTGGTGGAAAAATATATGACACTAGAAAAAATATAGTTCCCTACTCCTTTTATACATACAAAATGTCATCAAATTAAAACAAAATATCATGTCCTCCCCACCCATTGCCCCCCCCAAAACACAGGAAGCTCTTCAATATTCAAGTTAAACTTAAGACTGATCATAATTCTGATCATAATTCCAATTCAACACTGTGGCTTAGAGCAGGGGTAAATTCCAATTTTATTACTAGTGTTTTTAGACACCTTTCGGCAACAAACCTAATGTTTCCTAACTTGGTTTGTGTACTGCAGACTTTGAGAGGCCTACTACTGTATTTCAGTCTTCTCTAGATGAATTTTATTCTTTGTAAAAAGCATTTTTTCTATAAATGACAACCTTCGAGTAATCATTTTGAAACCATACTCACCATTGCCATTGATCTGTCAATAGCAGTCTCAGGTCCAAAATCAGATACTCCAATATCCATGTTAAGATCTGCCCCTGATCTGAAAGTCACCCCATTTCCATTTTCAGAGGGTTTGACAAGACTGCTTAAGCTGGAAACAAGTATCCAAAAAGTGTCTTGTTATTTAAAACAACAACAAGAACAACAAAAAAAAAACCTTTCGCAATAGTTCCCTTTCTTCCACACTGCTCAGTCTTCCTTAAATGTAACGCTCAATTCCCACTCTAAATTTATACTGTCAAATGGTAGTAAGTTCCCTTAGCTACCTGGAAATGTTAAAGCACATTCCTGAACCCTGAGATCTAAAAGAAAAAGTGTCCACCACATACCAGGATAAAGCCTGGGCATCACACAGCTGCCTTTTCACTCCCCTCTTACCTGCACCCCTGCCAGTAGGCACAACCATTTGGACTACAAAACACAGCTTGTCATCACTCAGGCTTTAGAGAAGAGTTGGTTAAGAAGTTGTGATTTGAAGTGACTGCCTGACATCCTCACTACTTTTCATTTCTGCAGAATAGGTGAACTGCGTATTGTGCTTTTTTAATTTAAAAAGAAAACTAAGTCCTTCACATGGCTTCCTATGAATTACTTAGGCTTCAAACATCAGTGTTCCCCATAATGAAACTGACCTTGGCAGCTTGGGCAGAGCAGGCAAAAGGGAGCCAGTTCTCCGATAGTGGAAGAATCCTGCAATTGCCAGAGCTCCAATTACGATGATCAAGAGGACTGTCAACAGCACAGCTAGTGCGGCTACAGAAGAAGAGAGCAGAGAGCACATCAACACACAGAAGCCAGCAATCCTGGCAGAAACCGGGGGCTAGAACCACTCTTTTAAAGACTGTGTTAAGTAGAAGAGTTGTGACAGCATTCAATTTAGGGGCCATGATTATTTCCAGGTTGCTCACACTGTTTTTTTTTTTTTTTTTTTGAGACCAAATCTGTTGCCCAGGCTGGAGTGCAGTGGTGTGATCTTGGCTCACTGCAACCTCCGCCTCCTGGGTTCAAGCGATTCTCCTGCCTCAGCCTCCCGAGCAACTGGGACTACATGCGGTCGCCGCCACACCCAGCTAATTTTTTGTATTTTAGTAGAGACAGGGTTTCACCATGTTGCCCAGGCTGGTCTCAAACTCCCAAGCTCAGGCAATCCGCCAGGCTTAGCCTCCCAAAGTGCTGAGATTACAGGCGTGTGCCACCGTGCCCAGCTGCTCACATTATTAAAACTTACTTGTTCCTGGAGAGATGCCTTTTGAAAATGCCATTTCACAATATTTTCCGGTGTAGCCGTCCGGACACCTGAAAGGAAAAAGAAAATCATTCACTAGCTGTTAGTTCTTGGACTTCTTTTCTGAGCACCTCCTGAGGTAGAGAGAGCTTTGACTGCATAAATTACATGTTGAACAGACAGGTATCCTGCATGACTTTTGTTTACTCTGCCAAGAGAAGATAAGCAGACAGAACAGGGCTCTGATTTTAGAAATTCACTTTTAATGGAGTAGCTGTGGCACCTACGGGGTCAGTCTCATCACCAAAACCCATTGGTGTCTTCTCTAATCTATGCAATGCTTCCTTGGGGAACCATTGGTTATGTTTTTGGAAATGGAAACCATGGTTATGTTTTTTCTTTTACAGCTAGTGCTCGACTTACGACCACGATTGGTTCTGACAGAATGGTCGTAACACGATTTGGTCGTAAGTTGAGTAGGCCATATGCACGCGGAGATGGTAGTGCTGCTGGAAGCTGGTCCGCACTGTCGTACGCCCAGCTGGGCAACGTTTGCGCTGCCAGACACGGACCCGTCGTGGCTAGCGATTGTGGTCGTAAAGTCAAGTGGTCGTAAGTTGCATAGGTCGTAAGTCGATCAATACCTGTATGTGCTTTCATTAAATGCTTTTTAAAGACATCTATTTCTTTTGCCCCATGTGAGAGCTTTCTCAACACAGTCATCTTCTTTCCAAATCTTTTTCCCAGTCTTTCTGCTCATCATGAGACCTCGTACTAAAGCAGCACTCCAAACAGCCCTTCTCCCACAGTCCTCTTGTAATTAACTATGTCAGGTGAGTAGGAAAATGCTGTTGCCAATTCTCTAACTCCTTGCTCCCCAAAGTGTGGTCCAAGACCCTGTAGCCTCACCCAAAGATTGTTAGAAATGCAGAATCTCTGTGCATGAGAATGGGCCCTTGAACCAGATCTCCACAGGATTCTCATGCACATTCTAGTTAAAGAAGCACCGCCTCAGTTCTCTGTGGACTCCCTCAAGGGAAGGCGAGTTGGTTAAAATATAAGAATTAGTAAACTGGCGAGGTTCCTGTATTTGTTTCCCTGGCTACTTTAAGGTCTCAAATTTCCCTAGAAGAGGCGAGGCCTATAGCTGGGACCTCTATATTCAGACTTACTTGCACTTGGGGAGGTCAGTCTCATCAAAATAGCAATTTCCTCCATGCATGCACCTGCACGGCGGGGGCAGGTTGATAGGCAGTTCGATAGCTGCAGGAAGGGAAAGCCATGCCTGTGTTAGTCAGCTGTACTCAGCAGAATGCCCGCACCATGCAAACTTGCCCGGGTTAGGGGTGGGAGGAGGGGCAGGCCAGCCAATTAGTCTCTCTGTCAAAGCTTACCTTCCCCCTAAGTCCAGTGAATTTCCTTAAAATCTTGGAGGGTAACGTATATACATTTAGTGGAAAGAGAGGGGGCAGTTTATAGAATTTTTCCCAAAAAAACCATGGAGAAGTACTAGACTCTGGAGCATATATTAATAGTTACAAGAGCATAGTGGTAAAATAATCTCTTAAGATGTTCACATTATCATTTGAAGTTTTCAGAATTCTCCTCCGTGAACCCAGTTAAAATCAAGAGTTTAATGTAGGCCTACCTTGAAACTTCCACTAAAGGCCCCAAAACATCAGTAATTGATCAGTTAACAGGCGGTTACATAGTGCAGATATATAGATACTTGATAGGCAGCTAGCTAGAGAGCTCCTGAATTTTCAAGTCCTCCCAAACTGCCCTGACTCCAGGTCCCTTCTCCCAGCTCGGCCCATACATACTCCTAGGATGTACCTGATGGGTGATTAGTGCTTCAGTGTCTTATATGTTGAAGATGCTTAATTAAGTATAGATCACATGTGTATATTATTTAAAGAGTCTGGATACCCTCCTGGCTCAGACCTCCAATATGAGTTTCCACTCAGTGTTCACTGTATCAGACAGGCCTCCCCTGAACACTATCTAAAGGAGAATGCCCACCACCGCATCCTCATCCCTCTTCCCCTGCCTTCATTTTCTCCATAGTACCACCTGACCTGCTGTATATTTGTTGACTTCTCTATTTATTGTCCTATTAGAGTGTAAACTCAGTGAACACAGGGGCTTGTCTGTTTGTTCACTTCTGTTACATCCAGCACTTAGAACAGTGCCTGGCACACAGCTGGCACTCAAGAACTCTTACTGAACTAATGGCTTAATTAATTATTATACCAAACTGAAACCCTATATGGAATGACTGCCATCACTCATGTTCTTTCTTCGGTTAACGTTCTTTAAAACAAGAATCTTAATATCATTCACTTGGCAAAAAGTTTAAATGAGAAAAGTAGTAGATGAGGTGACAACCCTGGGCCACACTGCTCCTACGATGTGAAGTTGCAATGGGTGGCAAAATGATCTATCCGCAGCATGGAACACATCTCAAAGCTTGAAATTGTCATTTTTTTCCAAATATTGGAGTCCTATCAATATTTCCCCAGTAACATTGGGATGAGTGCAAGGGTAGGAGAAGAGAGGAGACGAGAAGCAGTTTTTTCTCCCTGGATTCATTCCCTAAACCTGCCAACTTTTCAGCCTGTTTAGGATGAGCCGAAGGGTGGTTCCTGGTCCAACTGCCTGCTCCCCGTGGTGGTAGAAGGTGGTTAAGCATTTTTATTTCCCCATCAGCTAAAACGGGGGGAGGCCCCAAGGATGTGAGCCATAAAATGGGCAGCTAGTGAATTGCAGGATGACTTTTTCACAGGTTTTTCCCAGCACAGGATGCTAGTTAGGGACACTAGTTATTCACCTCAGATTATTAACTCCTCAATTTAAAAGAGTCATTGAAAAAAGGTCTTGCCAAGAATAGATCATCCACAGCATTTGGGATGAGAATTAAACCCCAGTTTCCTCATGCTGGTCTTCATCTCCTGATAATATAAAGCACTTTTCAAAAGGTGGCCCTTTTTTCAGTTGTCAAAACTGAACATGGTTCTCTATGCTGAGGAACTCCAGTTAAGGTTGAATGGATTCTGGGGCAATGGGAATCCAGCCTGAGGTGGAGGTCCTATAAAAACTCACTCTTCAAAATGTCTTTACAAAACAACACAGCAATAGATTTAGGGACACTGGATCTATATTTCTGCAGATCTTAGCAAATAATTCTCAGAAGTCCCTTTCAGCTCTATTCATGCCTCCCACATCCCCCATCCCTCCTTCCTGTCATCCCCATCTGCTGCAAAGGACCCAGTACACGGATTCTTCAGGCTCCTGAAGACAGCAGAGGAGTGCCCCCAGGCCCCCATGGCCGCTCAGGCAGTGCCCCTACCTGCATCACACTCAGTGTTGCTCCCTTCTATAAAGCTGGAGCCTTGGGGACAGGCACAGCTGTATCCTCCAGGTCTCAGAAGGCAGAGGTGGCTGCAGATCTGTTTGCAAGGGTTGGGCACTGGAAAGCAGGTAAGACAGCAGTTAGGTCCTGTTAGAATGAATAACCTGACTGTGGACATACCTAGCAACTGGATGTGGCTCTGCCAGTTGACAGCAGAGCCTAGGCAGCATCCCAATACCTCTAGTCCATGTGCCACCTGGCTACTCACCCTAATTTACACTATCTGCCACCCCACTGCAGTGGCATAGGCCCTCCTCGGGCCCTCCCGCCAATTTCTGTACCACTCACATTTTCTATTGTCATCACTTATCTTCTCTGCTGCCCTAGGAGGTTTGGAAGGTGGGTATCTAGTTCACTGCCTAACCTCAAAACCTACTCAGTGCTAAACAACTTGAGATGGTTCAAAAGACCAGTGAGATCCACTTATATTAAGATTTGTCACTACCCAAATCTGGATAGATCATAATGTATGGTCTACCCAAAGCATACCGGATGTGATTTCCACCCCAACCCTCCAAGGAGAATATTCTCTGATCTTTAGTTACCTTAATTGCAAGAAAAGGGAATTTAGAGCAATGATTCCTCAGAACTGCCTGGGAGCTATTCAAAACTATTGATGCCCAATCCGAGATTCAGATTTAAATTCATCTGGAATAGAGCTCAAGTATTACCAGTAAAAGCTCCCCAGGTAAGTTTAGAATCTTCTGAATTCTACCTTAGCATATATTATGATTTATCCAGCAGTTGTACTAGAGTAGATAACCTTTACATTCCTTCTCAGACTAACACTCTGTGATCCCGACTGTTCGTCATTCAAGATGTAACCATAGACAAAGTATGGCTATAAATTCATAAGACATCTTCCAAAAGCCTGTCAAAATCTGTCCCATTACCATGTCATCAGCCCTCCAGAGAGGAGCTTTTCAAACTTGAGTTGTGATACCAGTCACCTGGGGAATCTTGCTAAAATGCAGATCCTGATTCAGAAGGTCTGGGTGGGCCTGAGAGACTGCATTTCTAGCCAGCTCCCATAGGATCCCAAGGCTACTGGCCCATGGCCCACACTCTAACTAGCAAGGGACTGGAGCAGTGGTTCTCGAAATGTGGTCACTGAACCAGCAGCATCAGCGTCACTGGAGAGCCTGTTAGGAATGCAAAGTCTTAGGCCACCTCAGGCATATTGCATCACAAGTCCGACAGGTGGGGCCCAGGAATCTATGTTTAACAAGCTCTCCAGATAATTCTGAAGCATGGTCAAACTTCAGAACTCTTGGTTCAAACAAGACGCTAATCTAGCACAGCTGGGCTGGCGCTGTACTTCCCACCCAAACCCCTCCCCTGCTCCACCAGCACTTTCTAAAAGGGCCGCCTTTCCCTGAGCATCCGCTGGCTGAGATGCTTTTCCTTCAGGGCCGGCCTCCAGACTTTCCTCTGCCTTCTCCTCAGGGTCCAGAGGCAGTGTGGGGGTTGGGGGGGGGGGCTTCCCTTTCCAGGTGTACTGTGCCCTCCTCTCCTACCTTTAAAATTGCCAGGTGTGCGAGCTGCAAAGGTACTTAGGACACAAGAGCTATTATTGTGGTCAGGTCTAGAGTGTTGCTGGAGTGTTTTGGAGACAGGTGATACTACTTCCAAAACAAGGGAGCCACGCCCCAGAAAAGGCATTTGCCACCCCTGTCATCTCATGGGAGTCTCAGCTCTGAGTTGCAATTTTTCAAGGCTGATCGGGGTCTCAAAATATCAGCATACTCAAGAGAAGCCTGGACTCCACCCATGACTCACATATAGGGATAGGAAGGGAGCGGCTTGTCACAGGCCAGGTATCCATAGCATTCAACCTGGGACTTTGCCATACTGAACATGGGGAATTTAAAGCAATTCCAAACAGCTGGCCCAAAACAGCAAGATGCTGAGTTTTGGGCTGGCTAGAATTGAGCCTAAAAGTTGTTTCATTTCTGAGATTAAAACTTACCCATTTGTTATGTGACTTAGGAAACAAGTTACTAAATCTCTCTCTGCGTCAGTTTCCTTATTTGGGATAAGAATGTCTTTATAAGGTTTTAGAGGTCTTTATAAGGTAATTGAAGTAACAGATGTCTGAATTAACACTGAAGAGAGAATCTGACATAAGGACTTAGTAAAAGACTATTTCCTTTCCTCACTTCCCCTTGCCTGTCATCTTGCTCCATACACTGCTTAAGGATGAATTAGAGCACAGGTAACCCGAGGAAGCAGGGCTCAGAACTAGGAAAGTGAGACAGAGGGAGCACGTAGGAATGCACATGACTAGCCATTTTAAACCAAGACCTACATAGCTCAGGTTGACCTGACTAGCCTGGCCTTGCAATGGGAAGGATCAGATTTCTGATGCTCATTTTGCGACTTGTTAACCCAACCCAAACTTAGCAAGGGATTGACTTCTGCTGAACTCTGTGGCCTAGGAGTACATATCCATAACTCCAAACAACGAGGGCTATTTTTACCTATCTGCTGGTGGTTTGCATAATTTCATTTGACCTCCCATTTTATCCTTCTTTGGTTAAAATGGTTAAAACGTTCCTCTCCCCCAGCACCCATACATACACACATACCCTTTTCATGCACCAAGAGATTAGTCTATTATTATCTACTGCCATCTTTCAGCAGTATAGCCGTTATTTTGAAATAAGTTTTCCAAGTAATGAGGAGTATCTTACACCAAAGTTGGTGATTACCTGACTTATTGTATCTGAGTTGATGAAAGATTCGAACTTGGGTGAGCCAAGGGTTCACTACTAGAGTTTTCTCTTTCTTTCCTTGCCCAAATTTATTTTGTTTCCATACTTCTCCCTTTTCCTTAGCTATCCAGTATAACTGGTCTTCGAAGATGTCCAGGCTGTAAGGGTGCATTGCTGCTCACCCACAGAGGAGAAACAAAACAAAACGTTATTGGAAAGAAAACATCCAGTATACCCTAGCACCACTTGCACATCTGACGGCATTCTGCCTGAATTTTTCCCTCATGCAATGCCTTGAAGCTCTGGGAATATTCAGGCAGACTTTGGACACAGGGGACTGGGAAAGTGTGCTGCACTAGGAGGTCAGGAAGACAGAAATTAAACCACATTCATGTATACAACACCAGTAACAGGGCCCTAGCTCACTTTCAAGTTACTGATTATATTGCATTTTTGGAAAACAATTTATATGGCAAGATTTTATATTTTCTTTTGAACATAAGATATCTATCTGATCAAATAGGAAAAATGTGACATGTGCTGGGTCATTACAATTCTGCAGAGTCTGAACAACAACAAAAATGTTTCTCTCCTAGATATGTACAGTTGTGCATACTGGGCAATCTAGCAAAGTGAAAATGAATGTGTCCAGAAGCAGTTAGACATGGATTAACATTGGTACACATGAAGCTACCTCTATGGGGGTAACCTAACAGGAAACTCAGTTATTTCAATATCTTCTGCTGAGAAGCATTTTCTTAAGAAGTTGTGTAAAAAGGACAAACAGGATTTAATTATTGCTAATGAACTCATCTGCATTTAATTCAGCAGGTGGGAGTTGGTGGGGGTAGAAGGTGGTCTCTAAATAATTATATAAGCCATTTCCTAAGAGCAGGGCTCCTTCTTGAGAAAATGGGCAAAGACATTAGAATATATTAATTAGTAATTTAATATATTCCATTCAAACTCATTTCTAACCTTCCTTTGCAATGACTCTCCTATCAGTCCCATCAAATTTTACGGTTTCAATAACGTCCTCCTTGAAGTCACTCCAGTAGATCCGGTCATTGTTCAAATAATCAATAGAAAGGCCAGTTGGCCAACCAAGGTTCCCAAAAACCAGGACATTGCGGGACTCTCCATTCATCCAGGCAGACTCGATTTTAGGTTCTTTTCCCCAGTCAGTCCAGAACATAAGCCTGTAACAGAAGGTTTCTTCATTGTAGCATCTCACCTGGTGGGACTTCATTACAGTAGAGCACAGGGCATTACCTACAGGGAAACCAACTGTTTTGCTCGGGGACCTGGGTGCTCAGTGACACTGGTTTTATATTTTACAGAAGATGGGGAGCAAAAATAGGGGAGCGAGAGTGTGTGTGATTTATCCTTCCTGAAAACTGCACCTCCTTAATAGAAATTGGCCATAGGATGGACATTTTAGGAAAGCTGTTCACTCTTTAAGAAATATTATTGGGCCGGGCGCGGTGGCTCACGCCTGTAATCCCAGCACTTTGGGAGGCCGAGGCGGGTGGATCACGAGGTCAAGATATTGAGACCATCCTGGTCAACATGGTGAAACCCCGTCTCTACTAAAAATACAAAACATTAGCTGGGCATGGTGGCACGTGCCTGTAATCCCAGCTACTCAGGAGGCTGAGGCAGGAGAATTGCCTGAACCCAGGAGGCGGAGGTTGCAGTGAGCCGAGATCGCGCCATTGCACTCCAGCCTGGGTAACAAGAGCGAAACTCCGTCTCAAAAAAAAAAAGAAATATTATTGAAGGCCTACTGTGTGAGAGGCACTGTTCTGTGTTTGAGATTTGTGGGTCAAGATGGCCGGGGAAACCTATGTAAATTCTAGCTGAATAATTTTAAGCTTGATTGGCTCATAGTACACTGAAGTTTATACACCAAACTAAGCTATATTATTGGTGCAGTTAATTAGAAATCAAGTGACAACAGGAGGCCTAAGGTAAAGACCATCCAAGAGCGCAGTAACACCGGGGACACCTCGGGGTGGCTGCAGAGCAGGGAATACTGCTCTAGTCCCATGAATGCCTTCTCAACA